AAAATCATCTTGTAATACCATATATCTGTTGCAAGAGATCAGATATTTCAACTAGTTGATGGATACCAGATGTCGTACCAAACATGTTAGAGCATTATATTTAATATGTAACTCCAGAGCATCCAAAACTACTCTTCTTCATATAAGTCTTCTTTGTAGAGTAATTATTTGACCAATCTTCTATGAAGTTACAATCAATCAAATCTTCTTTGACTGAAACAACTCCAAATCATTTCCATTTGACTTTGGATTATCAACACAATCTTCTTCCCATAATCCAAACTATGGATTAATAGAAGAAGTTAACACTTCACCGCATCTGAAGGACATCAGAAGACAATCAGAGCCCAAACCTTAAGTTTATTGCTTAACTAGTTCTGTCAAGCACTTTTGTCAAACAACTCTTAACTGATTCTTTCAAACACTTTAGCCAACAAACCTTCTTGGCAACAAACTCAAATGCTGGATCACATTTTAGAACATCTTGTTCCACATGTTTCTTAAACTATATCTAGTTCATGTGTTGTTTTACCAAATGCAACCAATCCAAAAGGAACAAAATTTTGAATTCAAACATATTTAATAATAAACTAAAATTAATTTTCTTATTAAATAAGTAAAAAAGATTATTATAAATAAATATTAATTAATGCATATGCTTATTATTTTTTTGGACTATTAACAATATTTGATATTGTGATTTAAATGTGATTTCTTAATACCATATAAACATATTTAAATAATATGAAAGAAATAATAAAATATTATGTGTGTGTGTCTGTGTGCGCGCGCGTATGTGTGCGTGTATGCATTTGTGTGTACATGTGTGTGTGTGTCTGTGTGAGTATCTCTCTGTGCATGTGTGCGTGCATGTGCGCGCGTGTGTCTTTTTTTATAGGAAAAACTTTACAAGGTGAAGTAGTTTGTTTAGTGGTACGCGCGCGTGTGTCTGTGTCTTTTTTTATAAGAAAAGCTTAACAAGGTGGAGTAGTTTGTTTAGTGGCCGTCTTCCTTTTGCAAAAGGAAGACTATGGTCTTAGGTTCAAAATCTACTTTTTATGTTAAGGCTATTGTGTTAGGTTCAAAATCCATTTAGACTATTTTTTTTATTGTTTTAATATCTAAAATAATAAAAAATATTTTATCCCTATGCAATATGTGCGAGTTTTGATTTATCATCGTAATTTAAAAAAATAGAAAATAAAAGTTACGAGAATTTAAAGAAAAACACTTAGACAAACCATATTAATAAAAATATTTTTTTTTTTGCAAAGATGTCACTAAGAAATCAGAACAATAAAATTTTAATATTACAATGGAAAATTAAAAAAATCTATACTTTGTCCCATGCGTAATTGTGGACAAATTTTGAATAATTATTGTAATTAAAAAAACACGTGGATTTTAAAAAATTAAAATAAAAAAATTATATATACAAAGCACATCAGTAAAGATGAAGATTTATTGTTAAGTTGTCAACTTTGAGTCAAAACAATATAATCTTAACACTATAGTGGGAGAATAAAAAAATTATCACATAGATAAATCAAAATTCATTCATATCGGTAAAATATATTTAACCCTTTAATTTAAATTTTAAGTTATATTTTTTATTTTTTATTTTTTAATACTTTTAGCAAGTTCATATTTTAAACATATATTTTAAAGCTTATAGTTGATAATTTTTTAAAATTTGCTTAATGATGCTATTCTTTTATGAATTTATAGTTCACTTTTCTCAATTTATAATTATTTTGTATAAATTAATTTTAAAAACTTAAAATTCATAACTTATTTTTCTCTCTCTTATTTTTACTATTATTATCTTAATTGAAAAATATAGATATTAACTAAAATATTGTGTTATTTTACATTTATAATTTAGTAGGTCTATCAGTTAGAAATCCACTCTACCGCCAACCTCAAACATTATCGAATTTTAGTTATATAATTTATGAACAATAATTTTTATTTTTATTTTTATTTTTATTTTACAAGAGAAACTTAGGCATTTTTTACATTTTACCACGATTCAATCTTTCTCAAACTTGTCACGGTTCCAATTTCTCACTTGCCAAAGATCAAGTTTCTCTGCTCTCTTGTGTCTTTCTCTCGAAATAACACTGCCGGAAGTCAAGTTCTCCACCGCGCAGTGTCTTTACGTTGACGGTGGAGGAGACCCTCATCTCGTCGCTACTCAATTCGTCTGCACGTTGTCTAAATTCCTCTCAACAGAATTCAACGCGACTCGCTTCGATAGAATTGATGATTATTTCCAAGAGATCACAATAAAAGTTTTGCAAGTGAGAAATGAAAAAGATTGAATGCGCATCCAGGGAATCGAACCCTGGTCAGTACCGTGGGAGGGTACTATGATACCACTACACCAGATGCGCTTGTTGTTGCTAATTGATCAATATTCGTATCATCAAATCAAATCCGTAACAAAATTATTATCCATACTACGTGTCAGTATCGGTATCGTGTCAGTTTCAGTGTCTGTGTCAAATTGTTTACTTTGAGAAATTATTTAGTGTATGAGAAAACATACACTGCAAGGCTGATATATTGAGGAAAATTGTCTCCCGGACAATACAATTGGATTCTCTATTTTTATAGTATACACTATATAGGTATTATTGTTTGCATTAATATAGATAGTGTATGATCTTCTTTGAGTAAACAATTGCCTGTGGATTACTTCTGTTGCTTTACTTGAGAAATTTCTTGTGGTTTGCATTTTCAAACTTTATACTTTTGTGTTATGCTTACTGGCACTGAACCCATGTATTATTTACTATCTAGTGTTATTTTAAGAATTCCCGCGATCTTGATACGTTGTTTATGATTATTTCTCCACGGCCGAGAAAATAATTGATTATGTGACGGTAATATTTTTTCTTAGCATTATCAAGCATTGATTTGTAATTGTGAAATAAGATTTGACCGGGCTGTGTAGATGTATTTTAGCGTAGATTAGTGGAATGTTCACTACAACAGCAATCACTCTAACAAGCAAGATTTCTCCTCTAAACATATATTTTTCTTTTCATAATTTAGCGATTTGAGGAACTACCCAGACTGAAGAAACCCAACTCAAAGCTTCCATCATTAGAATCGAAGCTGCTGCCATCATTGTAGTAAAAGCTCTGGTATATTTTTGTGATTTCATTAACTTTCTTGTTTGCATAAAATGTTAGTATTTGTTATTTGGGATTATTTAGAATCCAGCTTTCTTGTTTGGTTAATCCACTTATCGTAGAAGACACACCATCAAAACGTTTGAAAAGTTAAGAGACCAAAACAGTCGTTTTAAAAGTTAAGGGACCGAACTGAACCCCGAATCAAAGATACGAAAAAGGATATTAAATCTATTAGCTATTATGCAACAAAAGAATGAATTTGGTTTTGATTTTAAAGGCAATGATGGATTATAGAACTTATAGTCTGGATGCCACTTTCAGGTTTATTATAATCACTTGCGGCACAAGTTTCCTCAAGTTTCTTCAGTTGTTAAATAAACGCAGGAAAGAAATTTTGGTTCGATTCATGTTAATATCCTGACTTGTTACTTAAGTAGCCTAATTTCTTCATTTGAGTAATTACTGCTATGCTAGTGGTGTTGCACCTTTATTGATGAACAAACATATTTGATCTGTGTTTTTACATTTGTATCTCGTGCCCACTCTGTTGTAGTCTGTAATATTAGAAATTTATGTACAAAATGCTTACATTGCATAATTATTTGAGTTATTTATGTGTACCAATAATATATTCCAATATGTAATGTTTTCTTGACCGTGACTGCTTCACCAGGGCAAAGGAAAGAAAGCTCGGAATAAATAGCTGACAAGCTGGAAGGGTGCAGTGATTGTTACACACCATCACTGTTAGGGAACTCCAAAAGACAAGATATGGAATATTAATTGAAAATGGTAATCACAGGTAATTTGTTTGGCCATAGACCTGTCAAACCATTGGCTTGTATTGAGTGGAAGATAACCTGGTGTCCATTATCATATAGTGCAGTATTGATATGGATGTTTTTGTTCTAACGTTAAATGTTGAATGTTACTATGGCAATAGACTCAGTAACATCTAATATTCTTTTTCTAATGATTGATGATTTGAAGTGCAACTCCTACACTTCAGTCATAATCCATGTTTTATTATTAATTTTTTTTGAGGACCACTATTGTATTATGCAATTTGCTTTCATTTACTGTGCTATGAAGAAGCTGTACAATTTGGTGACTGGCTTCAATATTTTGAAGACTAAAATTAAAATGAAGAGATTTGCACTTAGCAAGTAGGTGCATGCATGATTAATTCATTATCCTTTACACCCAATTCCACAGGATAAATAAATACATGTCTCAGATAAGGATCAATTGGCTTACTTGTTAATCAAGCCATTGCCATCATACAAGTTACTGATGTGAACTTAATTTTGGGTTGTAGGAGTATTGGATGATATTAGTCACCAGAAATTCATCAGTCTTGAAATAAAAAAGATAAAAATAGCAGATATGTATACTCGAAAGCCTCTTCTTTTTGGAGGTACTTTTATTTTTATTATAAAAGTTACTGAATATTCTCTTTGGAATCACGTGATTGAATCACGTGACTTGATGATTTAAATGTCATAAGAATGTAGTATAGTATAATGGTGATTGGTTTTGTGGGATATACTTGTTAAAAGGGATGTGGCATCCAACACTAAAAAAGTGCTTTGATGATCACGACCACTTTTCTTCTTCATTTTTTTTGTTTATTAATTTATAATTATTATCTCTCATCATATCAAATTATACTTATACTAAGTATATGATAAGAAAATAAATATAATGATCTGTTTTTTTTATAAAAAAACATTCACACATGTGTTGCTCACACTCTTTAAAAGCATTGCAAAACCAACTCACACCCACTTAACCAAGCTTTCTCCATCCCTTAATTTCCACTCTACTAAGCTACATAGCAACCAAACTTCATTTCAAATGGCTGCACCCAAACCACCACAACTTCCTCCTGGATCAGAAACTCTCAAGTATCAGGTAAAATCATAATCAAACACATACTTTTAATTTTCTCTCTTATCTCAACTTCACTTTTTTTACTGGTAATTATTTATATATTCTTCAGACGTGGGTTTTGAAAGTCTTGATCCACTGCGATGGCTGCACTAAAAGAATCAAGAAAATTCTTCAAGGAATTGAAGGTATATATGCACATTATATATGTTTTTTAATGTACATGATGGTATCTTATATTATATATGCATGTTATAAATTATAATAAAACATTATTAATCATGTTATATATGTTTGTGACAGGGGTTTACACGACAGAAGTTGATTCTACGCAGCACAAGGTTACAGTTACAGGCAACGTTGAAGCTGAAACTCTCATCAAAAAGCTTTCAAAATCAGGAAAATCAGTGGAACTTTGGCCACAAAAACCACCTGAGAAGAAAGATAAAAAACATTCAACAAAATCAAATGAAGATCAAAAGAATAGTACTGAACCAGTTGATGGTGAAAGTAGTCATGAAGATTGTATAGATGATGTAGGTGATGGCGGTGGTGAAGAAGATTCAAATCATAATGATAGTGGTGGTGGTGGTGATAATAAAAGTGAGGGGGGTGCTAAAAAGAAGAAGAAAAAGAAAAAGAAGAATAAAAGTGCTTCTGTAACTTCTGTTCCTCTTAGTAATAATGATGGAGGAGAAAAAGTGATTATTAGTACAGAAAAAATTGCTTCTCCCAGGGAAATTATTGTCCCTCCAGTACTTCAGCAACAGCATGGTTATAATAACCCATATCCACCACATATGTACTATTCACACCCTCCTCTTGCCCATGCACCACCACCTTATGGGTTAAGCTATAACACATCCTATCCTGTTTCAACTACTTCTGCTTATTATGTTGGGGCACCTATCATGCCTATGCATGCTAATTACTCTAGAGTTCCTCCACCACCTCCTCCACCGTCTGATCCAATCAATAACTATGGTTATCATCATGATCATGATGAATATGAAGGTGGATATTGCTCTATTATGTGACATGAACTTCAAAGTGGATAATGATGATGATGATGATGATGATGATGTGTATTAATTGATAGTGTTGTTGCTTGTTGATTAGTGCTAATAGTGAGGGGAAGTGGAGGTTTGATAGTTGTATTATGTGCTACAAAATTTGAAATTAACTACTAGTTAATAAAATCAGTATTTGGATATTGTGGATTTAGATTTTAGATTTAATATTTTAGAATTTTAAAAATATTAAAATCTTATTGTTTTTTAATCAGTTTGATCTCAATCAAACGATCATCAATTTACTTACAATTTACATATGAAATGAATATTTAAATTTGTGATTGCAACAAGCTCTTTAAGGATGTTTTGTTTGCTCTATGGTGGGTCTCTAATGTTTTTCTTTGCATAATATATTTTTTTTGTTGCTTTTTTTAATAACTTGTTAAAAAGTATGTTTTTGGGTTTGTAAAAAAAGGCCATAGCATTATAATGCTATGCAATTTGTAGGACTAAAAGTCTCTCTTTCCCTCTGTATGTTATGTGTAAAGTATATTTTGATGTACAAAGTTTTGTTTTCTTTTTGATAATCTTTATTTACATGGCATGCTTTTGGTAATTCACATGCATGCAAGTGAGTTCTAGCTGGCCAACTATTCTTAGCTACTAAGTAATTACTAAAAAGAGTGAACAATAGAAGCAAAAGAAAAAAAATAGATTTTTTTGTATTTCTCTCTTTTTTTTCTTTCTGGCTTAGGCCAAAGCCCATGTTTTTGAGTTTTCATTTATGAAATTCTTATTTTAGTTGAAGTATATATATCAATATATATCACAATACTAGAATAGATATAAACAAAAGGGAATGAATCTAAAATAAACAGAATAAAGGTTTGGTAATGTGTAGTATATCATATTATAGTGCACCCATGTCATAAAAGTATGTGTGAGTGTGATTGTGATTGTGATTGTGTACTATTATCTCAATCAGAGTGTCAATGTTTGCATCATATATCCTCCAAACTTTACTTCAAATTCTATAAAGTCACATGGAATAATTATGACTGTGAGACTAATTATTGGGTCAAAGAAAGACTGATTGAGGTAAAATATAAAAAATGCCTAAGTTTCTCTTGTAAAATAAAAATAAAAATTATGTTCATAAATTATATAACTAAGATTCGAAAATGTTTTATGTTGGCGTTAGAGTGTCTAACACAACGTTCGTTTTTTACTCGAGGTTGAAATCGGTTATACATAACAAAACTATAGTAACATAGGAAGAATTTAATTTAAATATTTTAGGTATGTAATACAAAATGATAGAAAAATAAAAGACAATGTAAATCATCAAATTCAAGTTAAGTGGTTGAATTAGAGAAGGATTTTATGAATTTTACGTGACAGAAATATAACTTGAAGAATTTATTTTTATCGAAGTGCGGTAAGATTTGCAATGTTATATGTGATAGAATGTTGAACGCTTAAGAATCAACACGAAAATAAAATAAATATAACATATATGTAGTTGTTCCGATGAATGTGTGGCAAAAATAGACTTAAAAGATTATAAATGCAATATTAGAGAAATTCTTGGAATAACACCTATAATTAAAATAAAATAAAAAGACTATTGAAAATATATTTTAGTGATTTGGGAAATGCTTGTAAATTATATGGTAAAGAGATTAAATAAGATAGAGAGAAATCAAATAGTTAGTAATAGATAAAAACCTATAAAAATTATAAGAAAAGTTATTGATAAAGATTTTAATATTAATAAGTTGGATAAAAACATAATTCTTGAAAGAATATTACGAAGATAATTCATACAGTGATCTCATTTAGTGAGATATACTTGATTGTTGTTGTTGTGAGTGGATTTCTAACTTATAGATCTAAATTATACTAAATTATAAATATAAAATAACACAATATTTTAGTTAATATCTATATTTTTCAATTAAGATAATAATAGTAGAATTAAGAGAGATAAAAATAAGTTATGAATTTTAAGTTATTTAAATTAATTTATAAAAAAAATTATAAATTGAGAAAAGTGAGCTATAAATTCATAAAAGAATAGCATCATTAAGCAAATTAAAAAAAGTAAAATATAAGTTTAAAATATGATCTTGCTAAAAGTATATTAAAAAAATAAAAAAGTAAAAAATTTAATTTAAAATTAAAAATTAAAAAATTAAATATATTTTATTTTTGTAATATGAACGAATTTTGATTTATCTATGTGATAATTTTTTTATTCCCTCGTTGTTATGTTAAGATTATATTATTTTGACGTCTTAGTTGACAATTTAACAATACATCTACGTGATTTGTATATGTGATTTTTTTTTTAATTTTTAAAATCCACTTGTTTTTTTAATTAGAATGATAAATTAAAACTTGTTCACTTTATGCATGGAACAAAGTATATATGTTTTTGCTTTGAATATTAAACATTAAAAAAGACAAAAAAAAATCTCAACGAATTTAAAACCCAACACAGTAGCCTTAACAGAAAAAATGGTCTCAATGGGATAAAGTAATACTTTTTTAATTTTCCACTGTAATGTTAAAATTGTTTTGATCCCTAGTTGACATCTTTGCAAGAAATTTCATTTTTGTTAATGTGGTTTGTCTAAGTATTTTTTTTTAAATTTTTTAAAATTCACGTGACTTTTTTTTTTAATTACAATGATAAATCAAAACTCGCATATATTGCATAAGAATAAAATATATATTTTTAAATTTTATTTTGGATATCAAAACAATGAAAAAAAAAATAGTCTAGATGGATTTTGAACCTAACACAATAGCCTTAACATAAAAAATAGTCCAAGTTGATTTTGAACTTAAGACTATAGTCTTCTTTTTTCAAAGTATCTTTTATAGGTGGCAATAAAATCCATTTAGATAATACTCATCCAATTCATTTATCCATCCAATAATTTATCCATCCAATTCAAGACAAAAAATAATTTAATAACTTTGATCAAATCCATCCACTAACTCATATGGATGGATTCAATCCATCCATCTCATTTTATAAATTCATTGGATATTATGTTATCACTTATTAGATTAATTAAATAAACTATTTTTATAAAAAAAATATTAAACATTTCAATTAAATAATTTTTCTTTATTTTAAACACAAAAAACAAAAACATTTAATTTCTTCTTCTTCTTCCCAAACTTTACGTAGAAAGTTTCTTCTTCTCCAAATTACTCTCTAAACTAAGAACCCTAATTTCTTCTTCCCCAAATTTCTGTCTAAACTAAGAATCCTAATTTCGTCCCCAAATTTCTTCTTCTCCAAATTTCTTCTTCTCCAATTTGAAACCTGTTATATATCAAACTTTGAAACATGTGTAATACGAGTCTCGCTTTTGAAAAGGGTAGCATCCTGATTTCAGATGCATTTCCTAATCTAGAAGAGTTGAATATTGATTACAGTTATGTATCAAACTTTGAAACATGTTTTGAACCTGTTATGTATCAAACATTTTATTGAACCTGTTATGAAACAAACATGTTACAGTTTGTTTCCACAAATATTGGTCATTGGGCTGCATATTTTACAGGTTGGATATTGAGACATTATTCAATGAACCTGTTATATGTCAAACATGTTTGAACAAGTTATATTACAATTTTTTTCCACAAATATTGGTCATTGGTTATGCATATTTTACAGATTGGATATTGAGACATTATTCAATAAAAATGTAAAAACATAGCACATACATTATGTAAGAATTGAATTCCCTGCTTCTCATTGATATTCTTTGTCCTAATATACAAGTGTGAATATCTCTATATTTGGAAGCTAATAATATACAGTTATTATTATACTAATTAGAATATATCCTAATAACATACAATTATGATTATACTAATTATAGATATATTCTAATACTCCCCCGTAGTTGAAGCGGGAGGTGGACGGACGTTGAGACTTTCTCTGAAGTCTTGAAAGAGTATAAGGGGAAGTCCTTTGGTGAAGATGTCTGCAATTTGATGTTTAGAGGGTACATGGAGAACCCGGACTTGACCCCGAGCGACCTTTTCACGAACGAAATGAATGTCCATCTCAATGTGTTTCGTTCGTTGATGCTGAACTGGGTTACCTGAGAGGTAGATGGCACTGACGTTGTCACAATATACTATGGTTGCCTTATGAATAGGATAATGTAGTTCAAGCATAAGGTTTCGTAACCAACATGATTCAGATACCATGTTGGCTACACCACGGTATTCTGCCTCAGCGCTGGAACGTGAAAGTGTAGGTTGTGGTTTAGATGACCATGAAAGTAAATTGTCCCCAAGGAACACGCAGTAGCCAGAAGTGAAACGTCGAGTGTCAGGACAGCCACCCCAATCTGCATGTGTATAGGATATTAATGAAGTTGTAGATGAGGGATATAGATGTAAGCCGTAGTGTTTTGTGCCCTGAATATAGTGTAATATCCGGCGTAGAGCATGCATATGGGTGTCCATCGGCTTATGCATAAAAAGACAAATTTGTTGTACTGCATAGGAGATATCAGGTCGTGTGAAGGTAAGATACTGAAGGGCACCTGCAAGACTACGATAGAGGGATGGATCCTCGTATGGGACATTATGTGTGGCACTCATTTTTGGTTTTGTATCAACTGGAGTTGGACAAGTTTTGCAGGAAGACATTCCTGCCCGTGAGAGGATGTTTTCAGCATATTTATTTTGTGAGAGGAATATGCCATGCTTATGGCGAGTGACAGCAATACCCAAGAAGTAGTTGAGATGTCCTAAGTCTTTCATAGTAAACTCGGAGCTGAGGAGAGATATGATGGACTGTCGCAAAGTATCAGATGATGTGGTGAGGATGATGTCATCTACATAAAGTAAGAGACATGCTAGATGAGAGCCTTTCTTGTAGATGAATAGAGATGGATCGCTTTTTCTTTGATAGAAACCAATCGATGAAGCATAGTCGGCGAACCTCTAGTACCAAGCTCTAGGGGCTTGTTTAAGCCCATATAGAGATT